TATATATATATATATATATATATATATATATATATATATATAATGAATATGTAATGTAACGGTATTTTGCGACATCTCTTTTGCCGGTGGCGGTCACGTGGCCTCGTGATATAATAATATATGTACTTGCGAAAATTTGGACATAATTATCCAAATCATTGAGTTACAATGATGGAAAGGATTAATATACTCCTTACATATTTTTCTTGCTAAACCACTGATAATTGTATCTAATTGAATATAATGCTATATTTTTCGTTGCAGAACTGGGCAGTAGAATGTGGCCGATTTTGAGTTCCTGGTATTTCGATAAGTTAAGAAAGTAAGTACAGATATTTAAGATGATATTTAAGGTGAATTAGTGTTTATAACACACAATCAATATCAATGCGATTTACTTAGTTTGTAATTTCTTGCATGTGCAGTGAAAGAAAAAGAATGGTTACTCTCGTTACAAATCATTAATATTATGATACAGAAATTACAAAAATGTAATTTCAACAAAAATTTACAAAAACTTCCCGACTGTTCATTATACAATTTTATTATGCAATTACAATTACAAAAATATACCAAACACTTTTCTCTCAGTGTGGGATTTTGCACGTATGTGTTTGCGTTGTTCATTAAGATACATTGCTTGGAATAACTAGGAGATCACTTTTTTGAACAGCTGCCTCATTTATCAGATATTTGAAATATCAAATGTTCCAATTTACGATAATTTGAGATATCGAAATATTCGAACTATTCTCATCCCATGTGATTCCTTAATTGCTTCAAGCGATGTCAAATATTCATCAAGATTGCACATAAAAATTTCGTGAGAAATTTGCGCAACAAAATTGCACATCAAAATTGTGCATCAGAATTGCGCATCAGAATTGCGTCACACGCGGAATTCGTGAGTACCTATTTCGTTCGTGAAAAATTTTGCAATGGTTACGAACGCCAATTTACTAAATATTTCGCGAATTATTACATCATTTCTATCGAAGTCTGAATTTATAGTTAGAAACAAAAGATTTATGATTGTTACAAAACAGCAACTTCGTTTTTTTTTTATGAAGTTTCAACTTGCGCGGAACAGAGAATCTTTTTTCTCTTGACCTCGTTGAAAGCACCTGGTTTAATTCGCGATTTTTTTCCACGCGATTCGCGAGTAAATTCTCAATCTTTTCCGTGGAAATTTGTCTATGTAGTTTTCGTGAGATAGTCGAGCGTCGTTAAAATGATCATAGTCGCGAATGCAGTAAAGCAAAGTGGCTGAAGTGTAACCGACGTGAGACGATAGCTGGAATGCTGAGGAAGCAGTCGGGATGCAGTGATAAACCTGCACGGAGTTACATGTCGTTCGATATCAACGCAAAATGGTGAGTATCTAACGTTCAAGAAGTATTATATTACGTAGAGCATGTATGTAGACGTAAATTGCATTGATTACACAGACTGACAGAAAGAAATTTCTGTAATCAGTCAATGACAATTTACAAATTGATTTCTTATTAACAAAGAATATTAAATAGATCGTCTCATAAATAGCAATAAAGTTGATTTATTAGTATAGTATTAAGGGTATAGTGTGCAAAAAAAGTTTTTATTAAAAGTTTTTATTAAAAAAATTGTTTTATCAGCCATTTTAGAATAGTACTGTTCACACATTTTTAATATGATTTCAAAGGGATTTTATTACAAAGAGAATATATCCATAACATTGAAATCCGATTCATCAATTTTTATTAAACTCGTTTAAATATAAAAAAATATCTGCTTTTTTACTGTGTTTCTAACAAATTTTTTTGCTATAAGTGAGATGATTTTTTGTACTTTGCTAATAAAGGATCAATGTGTAAATCAAACATATTTTCTCATATTTTCGTTACATTGTTGACAGTAAGCGATTTATTATAAGTTCTTTCCTTTAAATCGCTAATTTAAAAATCATGGCAAAATTCAGTTTAAAATTAAGTTTAAAATGTGATGGAGTAATTTGAACATTTGCGCGAAAAAACAGCGGCATTTATGAGCGAAAATCTATAGAAGATATCTATCCAGATTAGAGTTACTTGACAAAGCAAAGCTTTTTTGACCTGTGTTATTCGTAAGGAAGTTATCGCACCAGACAATATATTCCCCGACATTGCAACATTATTTACAAGTTTTAGGGATTAAAGTCGCGCGACAGCGCGCATTTGTGGGATCTAGTCTTAAGAAAAAAACCACACAATGCCTTACATCGCTTGTAAGAGCATCAGTGCGAATGTATTTTCCAATGGAAAATATAACGAGATGGAAACGTAACGTCGCGATATATAACGGTATTGCGCGACTTTAAGACCGAGAGCTTACGAATTGTTTCCTCACAAAATGGAGAAAGATGTTAGGACATCAGATACACATCGATGCTCGGTGCTCCCAAGGCGAATGCACTTGCGAGTATGTGTAGATGTTTGCACACGCGCGAGCGGCGCACGCGCGCGAACACGGAAGTAGGTGGAAGAGACACACGAGTTTGTAGCAGGCAGGAGAACCGGAAATTCGTATCTACCCTCCGGTAACCCGAGAAACCCGGGGACCAACAGCCACGGGCCACTCTCTCGAGTAAATTCTATATCCTCCTTGCGTCTCCTACCGATGCACCTTCTCCGCCCTATTCTCTCTGGTTTTCTTTTTTGTTCGCTCTTCTCCATTAACGTCCTTTCTTTTCCGCGCTCGCAAAACTTTCTCATTATCTCGGCGAAAATGCGCGACTGTGTCTGCCTCTTTCTCTTTCTTCCTCTCTCTCTCTCTCTCTCTCCTTTCCTCAGACCGATGCGATTCAATTGCTTCTTTTTGTTTTGGATAAAGGAGCGATGCCGGCGGCGACCCCGATAGACCGGCGAATCCTATTTACGCAGCACTGTCTGTCTGGTTATTTTTAATTCCCGTCGCATCTCGCGTCTGACCTTATTTTTGTTTACCGTGCACAAGCCTGCCACCATCGCCGCCACCACCGCCATTGCCACCGTCTCCGCCGACGCTGACATTTCTCGAAATTGGAATCGTTGCTCCGCGGAATACTTAAGTGGGATTACGCGGCAGCCTCCAACTTCCGGGCCGTGATTAAACGTCTTAACGTCGCCGCGCAATTTCGGACATCGCGAAAGCCGGAAAATATCTAACGCCTCGTCTCCCGTTGTTGCGCTATCTTTCTTTCTCCTTTTTCTTCGCATTCGAGTTTTCGATGTCAGAATCTCGGTATCGCACTTGCCGTCTCCAACAGAATGTGACGAAGACCATCGGCTACTAGAGAGCTCCGTGTCGACTACGATGGAATCGTCGTTACTAAAATCGCATGGACGGGCGTGACGTGTCATCGCGAATCGGACACGGCGGACATTCCTTTGAAGTTTAATTCCCGGTGTAATTAGAGTCACACGCCCGGCCATACAAAGTCGACCGTGCGCGTCGTTACGACGACATTGTTCTCGCCGGGCTATAAATTCGCGTCTCGTGGTTCTCCCGCACCTCCACATCGCCACCATCATCCGCACCTCCACCAACACCACCGCCGCCGCGACGACGACGACGACGGCGACGACGACGACGACGACGACGACGACGACGACGACGACGACGGCGCGCCTGGCTAACGATTATACGATAGGATTCCAGTCATTCGTTGAATTTTCGACGCGGCGGTTTTTCGTTGCTCGTCAACAGAACAAAGGAGGCGTGGGCAAAGCGCCCGTTCCATCGGCTTTTTCGGATTTCATCGTGGGAGTTCTCGCGAGTATTGTTGTTTCGGAGCCGGAAAAAACGGAAACCGGTCGTTGTCCGCGTTTTGGCGTTTGGAATTTTGACGGGGAGAGGGGAGGGGCGGCGGTGCGGCGAGAGACATCCCGACATCTTAAATTCGCGAGAGAGCAAGCACGAGAGCGTGTGCGGTGCGTTTCGAGATTAATTAAATTGCTGCCTTCTGACATTTAAGCTACGGCTCCGCAAGCGGCTTCCGCCGCCGCTGGTTTTCATACGCGCGAGATGCATTCTCTATTTTCCTCGCGGACGCAAATTACGCTAGTTTAGCACAATATATTTCCCGTTGTAACCGCTTCGTGAAATATCACGGGGTAAAAGTGGCTGCGCCGGGGAGTAACATATACGCCAGTGTCCGTAAGTTCGCGGGGAACAAATAAATCAAGTTGCGGACGAAGATTATCAGTGGCGAAAAAAATGATTCGCCATTTACCGCGCCAAATGTGCGCCAAAAGCGCGTGAGATCGGGCGACGTTTGAGGCAGAGTTCCGGACGGTGCGATTTCGCGGCGTTGCGTTATCTCGAATTATTTCGGGCGACCCGGACGAGTCCTCCCCTTGTGGAAATTAAACCTCGTCTAGCCGCGAGACAGTAAATTTTGTGCCTAACAGCACTACTAACCAGTAATGTAACACTCACTTCTCCTAGTGGCTAGATAAATAACATGGCTGGTGATGAAACGGACGAAATTTACGAGATGAGAAACCATAAGCAATTGCTAGCCCGTAATGTTACGCTCACTTCTGCCGTCTTGAGATTTTTATGAAGCTACCGTAACTTCAATTTTTATTTATCTAATTTTAACGTGCTGATATGATAGCTGGATTATGTATTTTAGAACAGATAGCGCCATTTACTCTATTATATTTGGTATGATTTGAATGGCTAGAGAAAGATAACATGGCTATACCACAAACTCGACTCTCTCAATATATGTATATATATATTTCAGTGAATAATCGACAAATTAGTAATGAACTAGAACATTTAATGTAGCTTGTATTAGTTAGCTGTGCTTGTACTAGTTAGTTATGATTCGGCTAGTTACATTTCTACTCAAGTCGAGATGAGTCGCGAGGTCCGATCGTCTCTCTCTCTCTCTCTCTCTCTCTGCGGGTGAGGTAACCTGCGGCTTGTTGAAAGGCCTTCGGTTTACACAGGGACTTAACTTACCCATCTATCAACGGCACGTCTCTGAGAATTCTGCGAGCTGCCGCGAGGCGATCTCCCGCGTGGGCCGCGAGCAGGATCCTCGTCAGTAGCTGACCAAGGACCATCACGCCCACCACCATCCTCATCCTCCTCCTCGCTGGACCCGCAGCGCGTCCTCACTAATGTCCTCATGCCATCACCGTTCCACCCACCGGCTCACCCGCAGCACTTCCTTCAACCGGAATGTAGGACGGCCGAATGTGCAACAGGATCGCTGATCCTCCGTTGTCGATCTCGCGTCTCCGGTTAATTAGCACCCGAGGAATCGCTGCTCACCGCTAGCATCCTCAGTCGCCGGTAATTCCGCGATAACTTGCTCGGCGACTGTCGGGCTGTTTGCGACTCTAATCGATTCGCGCGCGCATACACGACCTCCCTCGAAAGACTTGCCCGGCAACTCTCTCTCGGACGATCGAGATCTCAATGGCGAGTTCTCGCAGGAGAGGCCGGCACGCGAAACGTACTCTTGCGTTTTCGATTGGATCTCCCGAGACAAACGCACTTCGATTCTTATCGCGTCGTGCACGTGGAGAGCGCACGCTCCCTCTCGCTGGGATAACAGAGTTCAAGGATCGACGTTCGCCTTCCACTTGAACCGGCTCTTATCTTCGGCGCATTCGTCTTCACACATCCTCGAGCCCACCTCCAATTTCTCACATCCAGCCGGGTCGAAGGTCCACTTTTTCCGCCGTCGCGATAGCTACTTCAGCCTCTCCGTTCTTCGCCCTATCCAACCTTCCAGATTAACCTTCCGGTCTCATCGCCATAGACCCCCGTCCGACACAGCTGCTATCTCCGCGCTTCTTATTCCGCTTGCGCCTCTTCTGAGTTCTTGTTCTATCTCCGCTCGGAATACTGTCTCGCTCTTTCTCTTTTTCTCATTCACCCCTTTCGCCCGGTCACCACTCGTTCTGCCACTTAAAGTCTCCGAAGTCAACCGTCCCTGTTAATGCGGCCGGTGCTCTTTGAGCAAAGGTAATGCGCCTTGATCGATTCGCTCAATTCCTACCGCGGCTCGAAATAGCTCCGGCCACTTTCGGAATTAATCTTGCGAGACGTATCGCTCCGAGAGCGCCGTCTATCAGCGTCGCCGTGCTGCTTGCCCGAAACGAAGGTTCGCTCGCCGTGGCTTGATTCTTCGCTTGCTCGTCGATCTTCGTGAAATTGCGCGTCGATCGAGTTGGCCAACTGCGCGCAAACTCAACGGGCACCTTTCGCCGAACTATTTTTAATCACTTATGAGCTGTAGCTCTCTCGCACGTTTCTCGTCTCGCCTCGAGCTCGCCTCGAGCTCACCTCGTCGCTGCGAATTCTTCGGCGAAGATGACTTTCGAAGCACCGTCTCGCCTCGGGGATTTGCCTCGATAGTTTGATCAGGAACAGGCTTTCAGAGGTTTCTCCCGCTCTCTCCCCTCCCCCCCTGTCGTCTTTCTATCTACCCTTAAGGATTGGAAGACTCCCGTGTGGAGCGCCCTTATCGACTTCTTCTCGACGGCATTCGAGAGATCTAGAGCCGATTGGTAATCGAAGACACGTCAGCCGCGTCTCTCTCGATCCTCTGCTCCGGCGGCGCAAAGTGCCGCTGGTTGAAACCACTTAAGCGAGGGCTATCGATGTCGATGGTCTTTAATTTACGTCGGCGCCGACCTTGAGTTTGACACTTTGATCGAGCTATCCGTGTAACGAGTGTATTTAAGGAAATTGAACCTCGGTTAGTCGTGAAGCGGCTCTGTTAATTAAGACGGCATCCCGAACGTCGAATCTTCTCGCGCGCCGTCCTCGTCCCCCTGTCGTCGTAGAAGACGTAAGGTGCTGGCTGGCTTACTTACAGCTCGTACTACTCGGCGGCTCGCAGTTTTACACCCGGGGAGGTGGGCGCCTCCTCAGGGTGTCGTGCGACGGAGCTCCCGCGGGCGGTCCGCTCGTTACGTCTGGAAGATTAATTAGACTGCCGAGAAGAAGACGTCCTGCAGCCGTGCAGCGAAAGAACGTTTTCTTCACGGCGTTTCCTTCTTCCTTACTCGGGCCGCGGTCGGGGGATCAGTGTTCCTGGATGTTTTCTGAAACGCGATCCATCTTCCGGGTATCCCCGCGACACACGGGCTCGTAGCTCTCACTCGGCGTGCGCGAGGTCCTTCCCTCCTCTCTGGACTACTATTACTAAATCACTTGCACCGGCGACGGCGTTTCATAATCGCGCCCGAGTGTCACGCGGCACTGTCACAACCGCTCGTAAATCTGTCGCGATTAATTCGGCACTCGATTAAGTCCCCGCGATTAATTACGCACTCGAAACGCGCGAAGGACGGATGTCTCTCTCTCTCTCTCTCTCTCTCTCTCTCTCTTCCTCTCTTGCTCTTTCCGGTCGCCCTGGCGCTTCGACGACGTTACTCGCTAATGGATCGTCCGCGAGGTCGACCCGGATATTTTCTGACTTCTGCTGACCTGTAAGAGGTGGATTTTCGTGACTCGCCCGTTCGGAGAATTATCGCACGGAAGAATTCTCGTCGAGGGACACGTTCGGTTGTCGGGACGGGATGAATGGAGATTACGATGGGCCAATTTTAGAATATAAACGGGAAATCGAGCGAGCAAAAGGGCGCGGATTTATTGTATTATCGGAGAATCAAACTTCAAAAATAGTTAATTGTCGCACATGCGCGACACGTTAATTTCATTCGAAGCTCTCTTGCGAAACGAGCAAAATTTATAACCCCTCTTTTCTCTTCCCTCCCTCTTAACCCTCTCTCTTTCTCTCTCTTTCTCTCTCTCTCTCTCTCTCTCTCTCTGCATACCTCGAAGCATAACGATCTCCTTCATTAATGTCTTGCTTTCGTCGGTACGATGTACAGAGGTTCTGGTTAGGCGTCGCGTTGGATTACGAGCAGGCGATGAAATCGGTGCACTACGTCAGGTTTAATTGATGACTATAATCCGTCTGTAACGGTTGTTTTGGTTGTAACGGTTGGGGCACGCTATCATATCGAGTTATCGCACGTAACATCGCGGCCATGTCTCCACGATAGGGGCAAAGGGACAATAAAATTCCTCGCGATCATCTCAGTCCGCGCCGCGCACTTCCTTTTCCGCGCGCACGTAATCTCGTCTCGGAGTGGTCCCGCACAATCACCTTAACGCCGGCATGGTTAGCAGTGATTCGACGGCCCGTATAATACAGGACGAGCGGACGAAACCGGCCGATGGCGTGCGCCGACGAGGCCGTTAACGTCGACTGCGACTAATGAGTTGGCTTGTTCATAATTATCGGCAGACGCGCGCTGCGGGGCCTCGTCCCGGCTCGCGCGCCCCGTTATCGTCGTGATACACGGTATTTACCCGCAACGTGTCGGCAATTAATTCATCGCCAACGGCCGCTAACGACCGCGTCTTTTGTACGCCGCGCTGCGGAACGCGCGATTCGCCGCAATCGCGCGCGCTCTTCCGATTGGCGAGTTTCGACGTACGAAGTGGTGTACAACGCGAGACACGACGGCGCACATGTACGCGAATGGATCAGGCCAAACTGAACGAAGGGTCTCTCTTTTCAGTCAACCGCGTGAAATTTCGAGATACTAAATTTCGAGGCAAGGTTAGCGAATCAGAGTACGCGCGACATTAGAGGACAAGCTCTGTAGACACGAGTTTATCGGAAATGCGCTTGAGTCGCTTCTTAGCAACGGTGACTATCGGTTGATGACTGAAGATGGAGCAACCATGCAAGCGACGAGGAGACAATTGTCTTTCGACATGTCGCCAGCGTGTCACTTAAGGGACGTCTACATTGGAAGTAAACAGTAAGAAGTAGGAAGTAAGAATAAGAAATTGACCAATCATAGTTAATTATTCTTCTCACATTCGACTGTGGTTGGTCAATTTCTTACTCTTACTTCCTACTTCTTGCTATTTACTTCCAATGTAGACGTCCTTTAAGAAACAGTCTCAGCCATTTTCGATGAGCTCGCGTCCACAAAGCTCGTCCCGCAGCGTCACATGCACTGATTCGCTAATCTTCTTTTATCAATACCTCGAAATTTTATGCAATTGTTGGAAAAATGGTTTGACCTACTATCTACTTGCACACGTGCGAGTGTCTTGTCGTGTCTTGCGTCAAATATCCTGTACATCTCGAGAAAGTTCCTCTCGCGAAAACGTCTCGCGACGTCTCGCGACGAATGGAATTCCACCTCGATGGAGGCGCGTCGCGGTTGAGACGAGAATCGATCATGAAACGGCGCAAAAATCTACCCCTGCGTCCCGTGGGTCGACTAATGCGTTTGTCACTCGATCTTTAAAAGGAAAAAATTTGATTGCGTCAACCGCATGTGCGTATGTGTGCCTGGTGAAGCGCCAGTAAGATTCTCGCTGAAGTTGCTGGAATTCTCTTCAAGTTGACAAGTTTTTCAGTCAAGCAGAACCTACGATTGTTCGGCTCGAAGCAATTGCAGACTCCGGTTAACCAGAGGTCTCAATCAGAATCCTGTTAACTCGAACAGGATTGTGGCAACTCGGCGCGGAATTCTGATCCGTTCATATTTCACCAGGCGTTCGGCTGAGCCAACCGTTTTTCCGTGCAGGGATACGATGAATATTCGCATGTGCAACTGGCCGAGAGACACGCGTGCACAGCGGCCGCTTGCTTCCGAGCACAGTTTGTCAAAACACGCGTCTGTTTGCTGAGTTAATAATGAAGAACTCACGCGACGGTGGAGAAGCGCGTCACGCGAAATTTCGCATCAGGATTGATCCAATTGCTTCCCGCTCGTCATTCAATTATACTCTCGTTTTTTTTTCTCCGCGACCTGCCCGGCGCACCCGGCCACATTAATTGGCCGGCTCCAGGAGACCCGATCGTCGCCGCTCACTTTAACGCTCGTATATATGCGCGAACGTCCGTGTTTCATAACGACGTGGAGGAAAAGCGATGACGAGTTTTGACAAGCCGCGAGATGCACGGGCGTTGCTGATGCCGCGCGACGGATTTCTCCAAGGTACGAGCACGCGGAATCGCCACGCGGATGCATCTGACAGCCGCGTTTCTCGACGGACATTCCGGTCGTTTCTTCCAACAGCGTATCGACGCGGCGGCTAGAATTGCTCCCGACCTAGGAAATCTGTGCGCGCTCGCGAGTCGACGGCACAAGTTGTACTTACTTTCCGTACGTATCCGGATTTTTCCGCCGAGACAGCGTGAGACGGAACACCGCGAGGGATCGTCGCCGTTCGACGTCACTCACGTGATCTCACGACATGAGATTATCGTCACCTCTTACGCAGCGAACGTTCCCTACACGTACAGGAGGGTGGGATTCTCGTCACGACTTCTCGCTCTTTAATCTTTCATCGCGAGTTACGCAACGAGGTGTTTTCGCGTGAGCTGATGTTCTTGTTGCGCGCCGGCTCCGCGACGGGAGGAACATTCGATTTAAATAAACGCGGCGCGGCTTCTCACGAAATCCCATCGCGGCCTGAGTCCCTCACCGGCCTTCCTTCCTCTCGCCCTCACGAAAATCCCGGCCGTCGTTCCGCGGGAACGTTCACGTTCCATAAAAATCGGCGCGCGACTCAGGCCGCATCTGTTCCGCTCGTAAAGTCCTAGAACTGCTTTCCGATATAAGATCCTCCGCGCGATTTTTCTTGCGGCCGTCTGCGCGCCGGTACTTTCTTCTTCTTCTTCGGCAGTGCGGAGTCTCGTTTCAAGAGAGAGAGAAAGAGAGAGAGAGAGGGGAGAGAGAGAGAGAGAAAGAGAGAGCAAGAGAGAGCACGTTTACGGCGGGCGTAACGAGGATGAAGCAAGACGCTCTTTCGCGTCTCCGACGAGGTCCTCGAAATACCAATTCGAAATTTCGCGGTGCAGAAACCTACTTTCGTCGCTCTTTCTCCTGGCGCCGCGGCGAACGCTTGGGGTAGGTCGCCGCCGCGCGATCACGAGCGATAGCCGTAGGGGTGGTTCCGCGCGTCGGGAGGGTGCGTCGCGACCGACGACGGCGCGAATCGAGCCGTTGCTCGCGGTCCGGAGTTGAAGACCCGACTGATGGAAACGCACGCAGAAACTCGGTATACTCGAGGGCGCAGGCGCCTCCGCGTCTCTCCGCTGATCTTCTTCCGTTGCACGGAGGCTGCCCCGGCGCGCTGCGCTGCGGGCGCGTCGTGTCGCGTCGCGACGCGCGTCTCTCGTGCGGCCGGTGTGGTACCCTCCGAAGTGTCGCTGTCCTCTTCGACACCGCGCGTCCCGACCTTAAGGACGACCCCGTGCGCTGCCTTCGTTCTGCGCGGTGTCGCTTGAATAGGTAACTTGCACACGTATGTGTGTATGTATGTGGAGGGCGAGGGGGGAGAGAGTGTGCGGGGGTGTATAGGGGTGTATGCCCCGGCAACTTACACATTACGGGATCACCGAAGCGGGTAAGTTCTCGCGCAACGCGTTCAACTCCGCACTGTCGCGTCCGAATTTCAATTGGAGCGCTTGCGACTTGTTATCACTTGTTTCTTCGCTTGATGCTACTTCCGCCGATCGATCGCCACATACCGTCGCATTCGTTTAGGCGGCTGGCCGACGCGCTCTGCATTCACTGCGCTTGAGTTTACGCAAAATAAAAGCTGCGACTCCTCGAAATATCCACTGTATATTACCACTCATTAATCCACTCGTTAATTTCTCTTTGAGTGGAAGCTAGCGTAGACGAGCACGCAATCTCCAGGCTTCCGACGCGTGTCTTCCCGGGGGTCTGAGCTCAGAAATTGAGCGTGTCTTTCACTGCCGTAATCACTGCCAGGTTCTACATAGTAAGCAGCGTTGGTTGCGTAAATGAAATACGTGGAATCCCTAGCAGTACATATTAGGTGGCCAGCGGTTGGCCGCTATAGAGACCCTACGTTAGCCGCTATAAATTTAACATTGCTTGCCCAATGCTTTGTGCTGTTCGAGATGGTCGGTTGTAATATAGCAAATTCACACGCGAATAATACACTAACGATAAGAGTCACTTTTGCGTGACTGATATTATGGCTATGACTGCGTATTATCCTGCAAACAGTACACTGAAAAAAAAGTTTGGTGATACTTACCACTGCCATTTGGTTGTGCGTTTTAGCATATTATTTGGTAAATAGTTACCATATGTGTGGTAATAATTACAAAATAGTTAGTAACATAAATTTTTTATCTAGTCAAATCAATTAAATGATTTAATAAATAGTATTAAATATATTAATAATAGTTAATATCAAATAAGGTAATAATTACCAACTTGATTGACATCTCTGAATGTTCTCTTGGGAAAGGAAAGTGTCGTGAGCATGAAGCATCAGTTAGCTCAGTGGTAAAAGCAGTCGCCCGGCAACTAAAAGATCCAAATTCGATCCCCGGTCTAACAAACCGTGCTTTCCACATTTTTCTCTCACCGGAACGAAAAGAAGACGCAGGTCCCGACCGCCACGACCTGCGTATGTCCTCCTCATTTTATCGTCATAGTTGGAAACAAGCATTATTACGATATTTGCAAATATTTTTAATATGACAATTTTGGTCATTATTACCATACTTTGCGTAATTATAATCAAGCCTTGGTAACAATTACCATGATTCTAGTTACAAAATGATTTGATCATATTCACCTCTATATTTAGTTGATACTATTTCACTAAATGATTTAGTAACTACAACATAGGCTGGATAATTATTACCAGAAATTTTTCTCAGTGTAGTGATCACGGTAATTAAAAATCAGTGAGAAAAACCGTAGCCACAAAAACCGTAGCCAGAAAAAAGTTACGGGGGAAGGGTTGTATTTTTTATTTTTGACGAGCAAAAAAAAGTTATTCGAAAAAATTTTTCTCACACTTAGCCCAGAAAAGTTATTCGAAAAAATTTTTCTCACACTTAACCCAGAAAATTAATTTCCGGGGGGGC